AGGCCTATCTGACTCCAAAACCACTCCATGTCCATCTGCTGCTGCTATTCATGACATGGCGGAATGGAGGCAAGCACTGGGGACGTCTAGATACAGAAGCAAGGAACGGGGACGGGGAATAGGGTAGATTACTGTCTGCAGATCTCTAAGGCCTCTGCATGGGGTGGCAGTAATTGACAGCCTGGCATGAGAGCCAGACTGACCTTGAATTACATCCCATCTGTGCCATTTACTAAGACTGTGAGTTTGGGCAATACATACACAACCTCTCTGAGCCTCAGCTTTTTCATCTGTGAAATGGGAGTAGTGACAGACCCTCACAGAGTGCTTACGAGAAGAAGTTCATGAGACCTGCTGTGAGGGGCTTCAGCACAGAGCTAGGCATTTGGTATGTGGGCCATAAACATTTTCTATAATTATGACTATTTAGAAGAGGAGTAAGACTTGCTTTGCATTCATTTGATTGACATTTATCAAGCCTCAGGGGAACTAGAATTTTTTTTTGAGACAGAGTCTTGTTCTGTTGCCCAGGCTGGAGCGCAGTGACGTGATCTTGGCTCACTGCAACCTCTGCCTCTTGGGTTCAAGTGATTTTCCTGCCTCAGCCTTCCGAGTAGCTGGGATTACAGGTGTGTGCCAACAGACTTGGCTAATTTTGCATTTTTAGTAGAGATGGAGTTTTACCACGTTGGCTAGGCTGTTCTCAAACTCATTGCTTCAAGTGATCCGCCTGCCTCAGCCTCCCAAAGTGCTGGGATTACAGGTGTGAGCCAGAACTAGAATTACTGTGTGGGCGTTATAGGGAAACTTTATCAACTCAATATTAGAAATTCTCCTCATGCCTGTAATCCCAGCACTTTGGGAGACCGAGGAAGATGGATCACGAGGTCAGGAGTTCGAGACCAGTCTGGCCAACATGGTGAAACCCTGTCTTTACTAAGGGTACAAAAAATTAGCTGGGTGTGATGGCGGGTGCCTGTAATCCCGGCTACTTGGGAGGCTGAGTCAGGAGAATTGCTTGAACCCGGGAGGTGGAGGCTGCAGTAAGCCAAGATCATGCCATTGCACTACAGCCTGGGTGACAGGGCGAGACTCTCTCAAAAAAAAAAAAAAAAAAGAAATTCTCGGCTGGGTGCAATGACTCAAACCTATAATCCTAACACTTTGGGAGGCAGAGCAGGAGGATCACTGGAGTCCAGGAGTTCAAGACCAGCCCAAACAATATGGCAAGACCCATCTCTACAAAAAAATTAAAAAGTTCACTGAGCATGGTGGCCCTCCTCGGCCTCCCAAAGTGCTGGGATTACAGACGTGAGCCACCACGCCCGGCTCATTTTTATGTTTGATATGGGGATCTCCTTATGTTGCCCAGGCTGGTCTCGAACTCCTGGACTCAAGTGGTCCTCCCACCTTGGCCTCCCAAAGTCCTGGGATTAATTACAGTCATGGGCCAACACACCCAGCTGTGTTTTGCCATTTTAGTGAAATCAGTATCACATGTTGAAGTCATGATCACATTGCAAGTAATATTTGGTGAGATGCCTATTCACTTAACATGATAGTGTAAGCATGTGCTCCTCTATTTTGAAAACATGATTTTTGATGGCTACATTGTATGAATATGTTCTTTTTCCAGCGACTTTCATTATTTCCAGTATTATGCCAATCTAAATAATGGGTCTTGTCCTGTCACCCAGGCTGCTGGCTGGGCATGGTGGCTCACTCTCATAATTCCAGCACTTTGGGAGGCCACAGTGGGAGGATCACTTGAGCCCAGGGAATTCAAGATCAGCCTGGACAATGTAGCAAGACCCTGTCTCTAAAAAAAAGAAAAAAATAGTAATAATACATGATGCCATGAACATTCTTTGCACACATCTCATTATTTCTATAAGGAATTTGCCCACCGTCAAAGCTCTCCAAGAAAGTATGGGATGCTGTGTAATGTAGGGAGCTTCCTGTCGCTTAAGTGTGCAAATAGACACTGGGAAATCACTGGGTGGAGGTTTGGCCCTGAGATTCAGGTGGAGAAAAGACAAAATTTTCTCCACCTGAAAAGAAAAGACAGAATTTCAGGCCCCTCTCACTATGGGTGAGATTTTATTTATTTATTTATTTAAGATGGAGTCTCATTCTGTTGCCCAGGCTGGAGTACAATGGCGCAATCTCGGCTCACTGCAAACTCCGCACCCCCCATTGCCCTGGTTCAAGTAATTCTCCTGCCTCAGCCTCCCCAGTAGCTGGGATTACAGGGGTGCGCCGCCCCGCCTGGCTAATTTTTTTTGTATTTTTAGTAGAGACAGGGTTTCACCATGTTGGCCAGGTTGGCCCCAAACTCTTGACCTCAAGTGATTTACCTGCCTTAGCCTCCAAAAGTGCTGTGATTACAGGCGAGAGCTACCACGCCCGACCCTGAGATTTTAAAAATAATGATTTTTAGATGCTGTGATCTCAGCTTCTCTTTCCCCTTCCTTGGCAGATGTCTGGACTTTGAGAGGCAGGGACTGTGCAAGGGCAAGGCATGATTTCATTAACCTCAGAGTCCTGGGACCTCAAAATCCAATTGACCACACGGAATGTCATAACATGCACAGGAAGAGGGATAATCGTGGGGTAGAGCAGAAAGCCTGGCTTAAATTAGCAATTTACCATTCTCTGCAGGCTATAGCAGCCCCATTACCGGCTGGGGGGTGTGGGGTGGAATAGGGGGGTGTCTGGGCTGTGTTCTACTGATTTATAGCTCCCAGTGCAGCTGCAGAAATCAGCAGCCTTGTCTCTGGCCAGGAAGGGTGTGTGCAGAAAGAAGCTTGTCTTCTGTAGATTTCCTAGTCTTTCTTTTTTTTCTTTTTCTTTTTTTTTTTTCTTTTTTGAGACAGAGCCTCACTTTATTGCCCAGGCTGGAGTGCAGTGACATGATCTCGGTTCATTGCAACTTCCACCTCCTGGGTTCAAGTGATTCTCCTGCCTCAGCCTCCCCAGTAGCTGGGATTACAGATGTGCACCACCATGCCTGGCTACTTTTCTTTTTGAGATGGAGTCTCTCTCTGTTGCTTAGGCTGGAGTGCAGTGCTGTGATCTCGGCCTACTGCAAACTTCACCTCCCGGGTTCAAGCGATTCTCCTGCCTCAGCCTCCTGAGTAGCTGGAATTACAGGCACATGCCACCATGCCCGGATAATTTTTGTATTTTTAGTAGAGACAGGTTTTCACCATGTTGATCAAGCTGGTCTTGATCTCCTGACCTTGTGATCTGCCCGCCTCGGCCTCCCAAAGTGCTGTGATTACAGGCATAAGCCACCTTGCCAGCCGTTTTTTTTGTTTGTTGTTGTTGTTTTTTTTTTTTTTTTTGAGACAGAGTCTTGCTCTGTTGCCAAGACTGGCACGATCTCGGTTCACTGCAACCTTTGCCTCCTGGGTTCAAGCTATTCTCCTGCCTCAGCCTCCTGAGTAGCTGGGATTACAGGCTTGCGCCACCATCCCCAGCTAATTTTTGTATTTTTAGTAGAGACGGGGTTTCACCATGTTAATCAGGCTGGTTTTGAACTTCTGACCTCATGATCCGCCTGCCTCGGCCTCCCAAAGTGCTGGGATTACAGGCGTGAGCCACCGCACCTGACCCAAGAAGTGAGTTCTTACACAGGACAATCTGGCCTAGGGGCCACTGACAACACATGCCAGGCCTGAAGAACTCCAAGTTCACTGCGGCAAGGCCAACAGCAGGGGAGGCAGCCCTGTCCTTCAGCAACAGATGGACTAGGGTTCAAACCCCGGTGTGCTTCTTGCTGGCTGTCTACTGTTGGGCTCAGCATGCTGTCTGTTTTCTTATGTGTGAAATGGGGATGAGAGAAAAACTTCTATATCGTCAGTTGTACCCGTCGAAGTATCAGGCACAGTTCTAGGTGCTTGGGATCCAACAGTGATGAAGACACAGTCCTTGCCCTCATGGAGCTGACAGTCTAGTGGTGAAAACATGGACAATAAACAAGTAGATATAAGGCCAAGGCTATAAGCAGCGAAGTAAACTGAAACGGGCATTGGGTGAGAGGGCAGCGGGGCTGCAGCTGTACAGGCAAACCTCAGAGATTCTGTGGGTTGGGTTCCAGACCCCTGCAATAAAGCGAGTATCTCAAAGCAAGTCAAACACATTTCTTGGTTTCCCAGTGCATATAAAAGTTGTTTACAGCTGGGTGTGCTGGCTCATGCCTGTAATCCCAGCACTTGGGGAGGCCGAGATGGGCAGACTGCTTGAGCCCAGGAGTTTGAGATCAGCCTGGGCAACATGGCAAAACCCCATCTCTACAAAAAAATACAAAAATTAGCCAGGTGTGGTGACACGCACCTGTAGTCCCAGCTACTCAGGGAGGTTGAGATGGGAGGATCACTTGGGCCCGGGAGGTTGAGCCTGCGGTGAACTGAGATTGTGCCACTGCAGTGCAGCCTGGCTGAGAGAGTCAGACCCTGTCACCCCCCCCCCAAAAAAAAAAAGAAAGAAAAAGAAAAAAAGGCCGGGCAAGGTGGCTCAGGCCTGTAATCCCAGCACTTTGGGAGGCTGAGGTGGGTAGACCACAAGGTCAGGAGATTGAGACCATCCTGGCCAACGTGGTGAAACCCCATCTCTAGTAAAGATACAAAAAACTAGCCAGGCGTGGTGGCACGTGCCTGTAATCCCAGCTACTTGGGAGGCTGAGGCAGGGGCATCGCTTGAACCCAGGAGGCGGAGGTTGCAGTGAGCCGAGATTGCGCCACTGCACTCCAGTGCTCTGGCAACAGAGCAAGACTCCATCTCAGAAAAAAAAAAATGTTGTTTGCTTTTTGAGATGGGGTCTTGCTCTGTCACCAAGGCTGGAGTGCAGTGGTGTGATCTCAGCTCACTGCAACCTTCACCTCCTGGGTTTAAGCAATTCTCCTGCCTCAGCCTCCTGAGTAGCTGGGACTACAGGTGCACACCTCCATGTGAGCCTGTAATCTAGTTCTAATCACCTTCTAATTCTAGTTCTATACTGTAGTCTATTAAGTGTGTGAAAGCATTGTGTCTAAAAACCAATATACATACTTCAATTTTAAAATACTTTTATTGTTAACAAGATGCTAATCATCATCTGATCCTTCAGCAAATCATAATCTTTTTGCTGGTGAAAGGTCCTACTTCAATATTGATGGCTGCTGGTCGGGGCGGTGGTTGCTGACGGCTGGGGTGGCTGTGGCAATTTCTTAAAACAAGGCAACAGTGAAGTTTGCTGCATCAGTTGAGTCTTTCCTTCATGAAAGAATTCTCTGTAGCATGCACTGCTGTTTGATAGCATCTTACCAACAGTAGAATTTCTTTCAAAATTGGAGTCAGTCCTCTCAGATCCTGTTGCTGCTTTATCAGCTACATTCATGTTATATTCTAAATCCTTTGTTGTCATTTCAACTAAGTTCACAGCATCTTCTTCACCAAAAGTAAATTCCATCTCAAGAAACCACTTTTGGCTAGACAAGGTGGCTCATGCCTGTAATCCCAGCACTTTGGGAGGCTGACATGGGTGGATCCCTTGAGGACAGGAGTTTGAGACCAGCCTGGGCAACATGGCCAAACCTTGTATCTACAAAAAACAAAAAAAACAAAAATTAGCTGGGCGTGGTGGTGTGCACCTGTAGTCCCAGCACGAGGGAGGCTGAAGTGGGAGGACTGCTGAAGTTGGGGAGGCAGAGGTTGCAGTGAGCCGAGATTGTACCACTGCACTCCAGCCTGGGTAACAGAGCAAGACCCTGTCTTGAAAACAAAACAAAACAAAACCAAAAGAAACCACTTTCTTTCTTTTTGACTTTTATCTCACTGTGTTGCCCAGGCCGGAGTGCAGTGGCTATTCACAGGCAAGACCATAACTCACTACAGCCCCAAACTCCTGGGCCCAAGTGATCCTCTTGCCTCAGTCTCCTGAGTAGCTGGGAGTACAGGCACATGCCATCACGCCTGGCTTCAAGAAACCACTTTCTTGCTCATTTATAAGCAGTAACTTCTTAGCTGAGTGCAGTGGCTCATGCCTGTAATCCTAGCACTTTGGGAGGCCGAGGCAGGAGGATCATGAGGTCAGGAGTACGAGACTAGCCTGGCCAACATGGTGAAACCCTGTCTCTACTAAAAATACAAAATATTATCCGGATGTGGTGGTGCGCGCCTGTGATCCCAGTTACTAGGGATGCTGAGGCGAGAGACTTGCTTGAACCCAGGAGGCAGAGGTTGCAGTAAGTTGAGATCATGCCACTGCACTCCAGCCTGGCTGACAGAGCAAGACTCCATTCTGAGAAAAAAATAAAAGAAACCACTTTCTTGCTCACCTATAAGAAGCAACTTCTCATCCATTAAATTTTTTTCCTGAGATAGCAGCAGCGATTCAGTCACCTCTTCAGGCTCTACTTCTAATTCTAGTTCTCTTGCTATTTCTACTACATCTGCAGTTACTTCCTCCACTGAAGCCTTGAACCCCGCACAGTCACTCATGAGGGCTGGAATCAACTTCTTTCAAACTCCTGTTAATATTGGTTTTTCCGCCCGAGACACAGTCTTACTTTGTTGTCCACACCGAGTGCAGTGATCATAGCTCACTTCAGCCTCAAACTCCTGGGCTCCAATGATCCTCTTGCCTCAGTTTCCCAAGTGACGGGGACTGCAGGTCTGTGCCACCATGTCTGGCTAATTTATTCACTTTTTATTTTTATTTTGGTAGAGCTGGAGTTTCTGTGTTGCCCAGGCTGGTCTGGAGCTCTTGGCCTGACAGGATCCTCCCACCTCAGCCTCCCAAAGTCCTGGATTACAGATGTGAGCCACCATGCCTGGCCACAAATGTTCTTAATGGCAGCTAGAATGGTGAATTCTTTCCAGCTTTCAATTTACTTAATCCATATCCATGAGAGGAATCACTATCTATGAGACCTCTAACCTTACAAAATGTATTTCTTGAATAATAAGACTTTAAAAATACTTGATTGCTTGATCCATGGGCTGTAGATTGGATGTTGTGTTAGCAGGCATGAAAACAACTTCATCTCCTGGTACCTTTCCATCAGAGCTCTTGGGTGACTAGGTGCATTGTTAATGAGCAGCAATATTTTGAAAGGAATCTTTTTTTCTGAGCAGTTTGTCTCAACAGTGGGCTTAAAATACTCCATCAACCACACTGTAAACAGATGTGCTGTCATCCAGGCTTTGTTGTACCCTTTAGAGAGCACAGGCAGAGTAGATTTAGCATAATTCTTAAGGGCCCTAGGGTTTTGGGAATGGTTAATGAGCAAAGTCACTAGCCGCGTTAGCCCCTAATGAGTCCGCTTGGCTGGGTGCAGTGGCTCACACCTGAAGCCGAAGAGGGAGGGTCGCTTGAGCTCCGGAGTTCGAGGCTACATTGAGCTATGATCGTGCTGCCGCACTCCAGCCTGAGTGACAGAGTGAGACCCTGTCTTTAAACAAAAACAAACAAACAAAAAAACTGATGTGGTGGCTCATTCCTGTAATCCCAGCACTTTGGGAGGCTGGGGCAGGTGGATCACCTGAGGTCAGGAGTTTCAGAACCAGCCTGACCAACATGGTGAAACCCCATCTCTACTAAAAATACAAAAATTAGCTGGGTTTGATGGTATGTACCTGTAATCCCAGCTCCTCGTGAGGCTGAGGCAGGAGAATCGCTTGAACCCAGGAGGCGGGGGTTGCAGTGAACTGAGATCATGCCACTGTACTCCAGCCTGGGTGACAGAGTGAGACCGTCTCAAAAAAAAAAAAAAAAAAAAAAAAAAAGAGAGAGAGCATCAATCTGTCCTTGAAGCTTTGTAAGAAGGCACTGACTTCTCTCTAGGAATGAGTGTCCTAGATGGCATCTTATTCCAGTAGAAGGCTGTTTTGTCTCCATTGAGGCTCTGTTGCGTAATGTAGCCCCTTTCATCAGTGATGTTTAAGCCTCATGAACCAGCCTCAGCCAGCGTCAGAGCTTCAGGCTTTCTTCTACAGTTTCCTCACCTCTCTCAGCCTTCTTAGAATTAAAGAGAATTAGGGCCTTACTCTGGATTAGGCTTTGGTTTGAGGGAATGTTATGGCTGGCTTGATCTATTTAGACCACTCAAACCTCCATATCAGCAGTAAGTGTTTTGTTTTTTTTTTCCGACAGGATCTTGCTCTGTCACCCGAGCTAGAGGGCAGTAGTGCAATCTCTGCTAACTGCAGCCTCGACCTCCCAGGCTCAGGTGGTTTTCCCATCTCAGCCTCCCGAGTACCTGGGACTACAGGCATACGCCACCATGCCTGGCTACTTTTTTGTATTTTTTGTAGAGATGAAGTCTCGTTGCCAAGGGCGGTCTGCCCACCTTGGCCTCCAATTATAGGCGTGAGCCAATGCTCCTCCGAATTTCGTTTTCTTATCATTGGTGCGTTCACTGGAGTAACACTTCTGACTTCCTCCAATAACTTTTAGATTCACAACTGTTTGACTTCAAGAGGCCCCCTAGCTTTCAGCCTGTTTTGGCTTTCAACATGTCTTCCTCACTAAGCTTACTTCTAGATTTTGATCTAAAGTGCAAGACATGTGACCCTTTCTTTTTCTTTTTTGAGACAGGGCCTCACTCTGTCACCCAGGCCGGAATGCAGCGGCTCACTGCAGCCTCGACTGCCGGGTCTAAGTGATCCTGTTTCCTCAGCCTCCCAAGTAGCTGGGACCACAGGTGTGTGCCACCATGCTCAGCTAATTTTTTAATTTTTTTGTAGAGATGGGGCCTCACTTTGTTGTCCAGGCTAGTCTTGAACTCCTGAGCTCAAGCAATCCTTCCACCTCAGCCTCCCAAAGTGCTGTGACTAAAGCTGTGAGCCACTGCGCCTGGCCCTTTTCTTCACTTGAACACTTAGAGGCCATTGTAGAGTTATTAACTGACCTAATTTCAATATCATTGTGTCTCAGGGAATAGAGAGGCCTGAGGAGAGGGAGGGAGATGGAGTAACAGCTGGTCAGTGGAGCGGTCAGAATGTACACATTTATCATTAAGTTCATCTTACAGGGGTGTGGTTTGTGGCACCCCAAAAAATTACAATGGTAGCATCCAAGGTCACTGATGGCTGGGCATGGTGGTCACACCTGTAATCCCAGCACTTTGGGAGGCTGAGGCAGGAGAATCACTTGAGCCCAAGAGTTCGAGACTAGCCCTGGCAACATAATGAGACTCCATTTCTATAACATGAAAAACAAATAGCCAGGTGTGGTGGGACATGCCTGTAATCCTAGCTACTTGGGAGGCGGAGGTGGAAGGATTGCTTGAGCCTGGGAGGTCGAGGCTGCAGTGAGCTATGATGATGCCACTGAACTCCAGTCTGGGCAACAGAGTGAGGACCCGGTCTCAAAAAAAATACCGCTGATCACAGATAGCCATAAGAGATATAATAATTATGAAAAGTTCAAAATATTGAAAGAATTAGCAAAGTATGACACAGACACAAAGTTTGCACTTGCTGTTGGAAAAATGGTGCCAATAGACTTGCTCATAGCAGGGTTACCGCAAACCTTCAATTTGTAAAAAACGCAGTATCTACAAATTGCCTAAAACAGGACGTACCTGTATGTAGAGAGGTCAAAGAAGAGGAGACAAATGAGCAGAAGACTGTTGCTTGGAGGAAGAGTGTTTCAGGCGGAGGGAACAGCGAGGGCAAAGGTTAAGGGAGATGATGTTCTGTGGCCTTAGCACAGGGCGTGACCCACAGCTGGAAGCTGCTGGTGACAGTGATGCCTTTTGGATCATTGCCCAGCACTTGGGAAACAGGGGCAGGAATTAAGCCAGGGCGGAGACGCTGCTTCTCCTGGCCCCGCCAGATGCCCCTGCAGGACAGATGGCGATCATCTGTTTCCCTTGGTTACAAAAACTCATCCTCCCACAGTGCTGGGAAATACCCCACATCTAGTGATTTTCCATTCCTCCATGAGGGGAGGGAATGGCGCTGTCCTGCTGGGAGGGGCAGGTTAGCCACAAGACACTCCTTCCACCTGCCTAGGCCTTGTCATCCCCTGTAAGAGAGGGCTCAACAGCAAAGCATAGAATACTGACTCGGCCAGAGTTAACACCAAAAATAGAACTGCTGACCTTTTTCTCTTTTTTCTTCTTTTATTTTAAGACAGGGTCTCGTGCTGTTCCCCAAGCTGGAGTGCAGTGATGCGATTATGGCTCACTGCAACCTCAACTGCCTGGGCTCAGCTGATCCTCCCGCCTCAGCCTCCTGAGTAGCTGGGACTACAGGCAATACCATGCGTGGCTAATTCTTTTATTATTTGTAGAGATGAGGTCTCACTGTGTTGCCCAGGCTGGTCTTGAACTGCTGGACTCAAGCGATCCTCCTGCCTTGGCCTCCCAAAGTGCTGAGATTACAGGCGTGAGCCACCATGCCTGGCTGAGCTTTCTTGGATGCTGACAGCGTGGCCAGCTTTGTGCCAAGCTCTGTGTGAAGCATCACACATAGGTTATCTCATTTAATTCAGCCAACTCTATGAGATTGGTACCATGTTTCTCTCCATTTGACAGATGAGAAAACTGTAGGCTCAGAGGTGTTAATTCACTTGCCCAGGGCTGCAATTAGGAAGTGGCAGAGCCAGCCTTTGAAGTGAGACCCCCTTGACTCTCAGAGCTCAGGTGTACAAAATGTCCATGAAGCAATGTCCATGAAAAAGGTTGAACCTATGATACCCTCTGATTCCCACTGTGGAAAATGACTTTTTCATATAGCCAGGGATTGGGAGAGGCAGTGAAGCAGAGCAGACTTATTTGTAATGTCATTAAAATAATTTTTTAAATAATCCATTGTTAATAAACAAAAGAAAAGTGAACTCTTTTGGGTCCCAGGCAGAGAGATGGTGTAAGAAGTAACAGGCCAGGCGCAATGGCTACTGCCTGTAATCAAGCACTTTGGGAGGCTGAGGTGGGAGGATCACTTGAGCCCAAGAGTTCAAGACCAGCCTGGGCAGCATAGGGAGACCCCATCTCTATAAGAAATACAAAATTAGTCACGATTGGTGGCACACACCTGTAGTCCCAACTACTTGGGAGGCTGAGGTGGAAGGATTGCTTGAACCCGGGAGGTGAAAGCGGCGGTGAGCTCTGATTGTGCCACTGCACTCTAGGCTGGGTGGCAGAGTGAGACTCCGTCTCAAAAAAAAAAAAAATAACATACAGCATGGCCAAAAGCTTGGCATCTGTCTGGGCTTTTTGGAACACCTGGCTTTGGATCTCAGTTCTGTCTGTTCATTCTACACTCCTGGATGGGCACCGCTCATTTTTTGGGTCACAGTTTCTTCTGTAAACGAAATGGGAATATACTGAGACCCACTTCCTGGGGTGGGTGTGATTCAAATGAGAGAATGTGTATGATGCTCTGCACGGGGGCTCCCTAGCCCCTTGTCCTCAAAGGGTATCTCTTTGTTGGGGAGCTGGGCCGGGACAGGTTAGGGAAACTAACATCCACACCACAGTCGTGAAGAATGATAAACTTGTGGACGTTATTTACATGGAATTGTGGGACTGAAATATTAACTTGGCAGATGGTGTGGACTCAAAATCATTAAGAACGGAGAAATTACAGCTGTGGCAAAATGAGTCAGTGTTTGACAAGATTAGAAGGCTCTCTACAGGAGACCTTATGTGAGAAATCTCACTGGGTCTTCACAACACTTGCATGAGGTAGGAACAATGTAATGTGCCCATTTTACAGGTAAAGAAGCTGAGGCTCAAGATGAAAGGCTTTTCCCAAGCACACCTGGTTAGTGAGCATCTGACAGCAAAGCCCCCCAGGTGGTGGTGGATGTCACTGCCCTTTTCCAGCCCAGGAGACTGTGTGGTTCCCTGGCACCAGCCTCTGCCTAGTGCGTGGGTTTTGGATGGGTATCAGGCGTGATCCTATCAGAGAAAAAGCACCAGTAGGATATATTTCCAGGAGTTGGCTTCTACCGCTGTGGGGTCTGGCTGGGCAAGTCTGAAACTGGTAGGTGGAAAACTCAGGCAGGAGCTGATGCTGCAGGTGGAGTTTCTTCTGGGAAATCTGTTTTGTTGGAAGGTCTTTGAACTGATTGGAAAAGGCCAATCCGGATGATCAAGGATAATCTCCTTAAAGTCAGCTGACTGCTGATGCTAACCACAGCTACAAAATCCTTTCCCAGCAACACCTCGATTAGTGTCTGATAAAATAGCCGGGTACTATAGTCTAGCCAAGTTGACACATCAGACTAACCATCCTGGGGCCAGACAGACGTGGGCTTCAGTCCTGGTGCTACAACCAGTCAGCTGTGTTCCGCTGGGCAAGTTTCTCTGCCTCTCTGATCCTCAGTCCCCTCATCTACCAAATGCCATGGCAGTGCTTACTGCAGTTGGTTAGCAGGATTAAATGCAATGATATAAATCACAGTATCTTCACCCAGTACCTGTCACCTAGAGAGAGGGAAGACATGCACGAAAGCAGGTGGTCATGAACCAGTGGTTTTTTTTGTTGTTGTTTGTTTGTTTTGAGATGGAGTCTCGCGCTGTCACCCAGCCTGGAGTGCAGTGGCGCGATCCTCCAGTTCCCCGGTTCAAGCGATTCTCCTGCCTCAGCCTCCAGAGTAGCTGGGATTATAGGCACACAGCACCTGGCTAATTTTTGTACTTTTAGTAGAGACAGGGTTTCACCATGTTGGCTAGGCTGGTATCAAACTCCTGATCTCAGGTGATCCTCCCACCTTGGCCTTCCAAAGTGCTGGGATTACAGGTGTGAGCCACCGCACCCGGCCTTGAACCAGTGTGTCATCGTGACAGTGCTGCTGCTTGTTTCTGTGCCTGCATTCCCTTTTACCAGTTGCTCCTGGAGGGCAGGAACTGTGTGGTATTCATCCTCAATCCTGTTTTCTAGCTTAGTCTTCTTTCTCTCTCTCTCTCTCTTTTCTCTCTTTCTCTCTTCTTTCTTTCTTGACAGGGTTTCTTTTTCCCTCCCTCCCTCCCTCCCTTCCTTCCTTCCATCCGTCTTTCTTTTTCTTTCTTTGTTTCTTTGAGACAGGGTCTTACTCTGTCATCCAGGCTGGAGTGTAGTAGCTTTATTGCAGCTCACTGCAACCTCCATCTCCCAGGCTCAAATGATCCTCCCACCTCAGCCTCCTGAGTAGCTGGGACTGCAGGCGTTTGCTACCATGCCAGGTAATTTTTAAATTTTTAACAAAGACAAGGTCTCCCTATGTTGCCCAGGCTGGTCTCGAACTCCTGAGCTCAAGTGATCCTCCCCCCTTGGCCTCCCAAGGTGCTGGAATTATAGGTGTGAGCCCCTGTGCCCATCCAAGTACTTCTTAAATATCCAGATGACACTTTGTTAATGTGATTTGCTCTGTGGAGTTGTTGGGATCTATAATAAAAATCCCCCAACTATGAGACAAGAGGGCACTAAGGTGTGCAGGAACCTCAGGCTGCTGTCTCCTTCAGAGAAACCCCTTACTTTTCAGCTTAGAAAAATCTTTCCTCCAGGGAGACTTCTCTGATTGCTCCTCACTGCCCCTCCAGCCAACAGGTAACCCTCCTCTGTGTTCCCACTGTGTCCTGTGTGTCCCCCACCATTGGAGCAGGGACTATGCACTATTTCAGACAGCTGATTGCTCCCCTGCTCTGTTCTCCCCACCATGAGTGGGTGTCGGGTGGAAGGAGTATATCCTTTGTTCATAGCTGGAGCCCCAGCAGAGGGTCCAACACTCAGACAGCATGTCACTGGGTGTTTGTACAAGGCGCATGTCCTATTTCCAGACGCCCATGGGCTGGTATTTCACATCCTTGCGGGACTCTGCTTTCTTGGGCCCCCATCGTGCCTGCTGCCCCATCCCTGGTCCAGCCATCCCTAAGCCAGAAGCAGAGCCAGGATGGTGGGGAGGAGCTGCTCTTCCCTGGCTGCCGTGAGTGTTGCTCTCGAACTGAGCTGAATGAGACATCTGCCCTGTTTCTCGTTGAGTGTGACCTGGCCGGCCTCCCCGCTCACGTTCAACTCTGGGGCCTGGATTTCTCTGTTCCAGCCTTTAATCTTCTCCTATGACATGCTCTCTGGGCTTCATTATAATTAACCACTTTCCTTCCTCAGGCTGTGCCAAAACTGAGACAGCTAATTAATTTCTGGCCGCTTGCCACTCTCGTTAAATGGTGGGCAGGGATGCAGCCTGCAGCTCTTGCTGTCCAGCTGGGCTTGTTTTGCCAGTCGTGGAGGGCAACCACCCTTTGTCTGCAAATAGAGGGAGCCCCAGCTGGACCTTGGCTGACTGGCAGTTGCTTCATTGAAGCTTCTCCATTGAAGAGCCTTTGATCACTACTGTAGATGTGCCTTGGTTTCCTCGTTTGTAAAATAAAGGGAATGAACTTGACCTGCAGGGAGAAGATTGGGGGGTGGTTAGGAGTGGGGGTTCTGGAGTCCAAGGAACCAGAGGCCTAACCTAGGCCCTGCTACCCCCAACTATGGGCCTCTGGGTGAGTTACTTCACCCCTCGGAGCCTCAACATTCCCCACCCGTAAGATGGGGAGAACAGCACTCCCCTCCTGTGGCGGTTGTGTGGATTCAGTGGGTTTATGCACACATGGCTGCCACTTAGGAGTGAGACTGGCACATGTAAGTGCTCGCAAACACTCTTCCCGGCCAGCGTTCTTTCTGGGCTAACGTTCTATATTCCTGACGGAAAAAGGCCTTCTGTTGTGAGAGCTGGGGTGTGGAGGAATTTTAACAGACATTGCTTCTGTGTTTTAGGCCATGGCTGCTGAGATGGCCAACCCCTTTGTGTTAGTTCCCTAGGGCTGCTGTAGCAAATTGCTGTAAACTGGGAGACTTAAAACAGCAGACATTTCAAGCTCAGAGGGCTAGAAGTCTGCAATCAAGGTGATGGCCGGGCTGTGCTCCCTCTGAAGGCGCCATGCTGTCCTGGCTTCTGTGGTTGCTTGCAATTTTTGGCATTCCAGCTACCTCACTCTAATTTTTTTCTGTTTTCACATGGCCTTGTGTGTCTCTGTGTCTTGGGTCCTGTTTTT